TATCGATCTCCCTTGTCCATCGATGAAAACGACTACCATAACCACAAACAAGTCAATAACACCCTCCATCACCATGTAGGCTAGTTCACATGCCTAAAAGGTGACCAAAAATTAACCAAGTAGTTGATAGTGATCTGTCACTCTTTTGATGGTAGTTTGGTAATTTTGTAGCGTAGAGTTATTTTGCTAGTTTTTACATATAGGGCCATTTTGGTCATTTTACAACTAATCAAGGGAATTTTAGTCACTATGCAATAGCCTTTTATACACTTACAAAAAAGTTTCTTCCTCTTTCTTAATCGACTAAAATAATCAATCTTAATCAAGATTGAAAGAAGTAAAAGTGATTCAAGAAAGGGACTTATAACATTCTCTTAACATTTAAGTAACTTTCAAGCTTATTTAAATTGTTTAAAATGATAAATGAGAATGATGTAAAGTGGTGTTATGGATGATTGAGTTATCAAATGCTTTGTTTGATTATGTTTGAGACTTTTACTTATTATCTATTTGTTTGAATTGAAGTCGTCACTAGCTTTCTATTTATGTGGTCGAAGCTTCTTATAGCTTCCAATCAATTTACATACTTTCTTGTTTATCTACGTCTAATGTGATAAAGTTGCTAGTGGTTTTAAAATTATTTTACCTATTTTTTATGAAATTATCGATGGATTTCCACTTATGTGATAAAGTTGTTAATGGTTTTGAAATGAATTTAATTGCTTTTTGTTTGCCTAAAATAGAATCATCGATGGCTTCTAACTTGTGTGAGGAAGTCACTAATGGCTTCCAAACCAACTATCCGCTCTTTGCTTGAGCAAAATAAAGTTCTCGATGACTTTTCACTTATATGATGAAGTTGTTCATAGCTTTCTAAATTCATGACTCAAAGTCATCGATGACTTTCTACCTATATGAGTGAAGTTACTAGTGACTTTCTATTCTCGTCAATAAAGGCTATAAATCTTTAGAAACTCACCTACTTACTAGGATAAATTTTTGTTTGCTAAAGTTTATCCAAAATTCTAATCTTCCCCATCTTTATACCTTAAGTATACGTACTAGCCTTGGATCGGCTTGAATCTTGAATTATTCTTTTATCCCATCCTAATAGAATAAATTCACTCAACTATGTATAAAAACCTAAAAGATAAAACCTTTTTTTTTATTTTTGCATGCATCCAATATAGCCTACCTTAGGTTAGACGTGATGGTAATGATGTTATATCTTCCCCATATGTAACCAACCCCTTACCTAGATATTTATGCAAACTAGTTTATTTAGGGTTTTCTAGTTCTCCAGAATTAGCTAGGTGGTGACCACTATTTTTGTGCCTTCCTCATAAACCCTTCATCAACATATGTGATGCTCTTCTAACAACTAGTTTCAACAATAAGTTAGCTAGAATACTCTATTTTACTCACAAATTGAGCCTAAAGACATTTTCCTTACAAAAATGATCAAACTAATTTTGCTTGGATAGCTTCCATAACCTATTCCAGTCTTTTAATACCCAAGCCTCCATCTTTTAGAGGCCTATAAAATCTATCCCAACGAGATATAGTGATATCTAGTTTCCCTAGTTAAGTTCCATAAGAAGTCTGCTAATATTCTCTCCAATCTATGTAAGCTTAGTTTTGGAAGTGGTATTGTTGTATGGGTATCCACTAGAATGCTACTTAGGATCGACTTAACCAAAGTATTCTTGATTGCAAAAAAAAAGTTTAGATTTTTAGTCAATAACCTTGCTGCTAGTTTTATCTCAAGCTTTTAGAAATAACACTTTTTCATTCTTCCTATGAATAATGGTACTTCTAAATATCTAAGTGGTAGTAGAGCTTGAGAGCAACTCGTATAGTCTAAAATTTGTGAAGCACTTGCTCTAGATAATGATTTAGCCTCATAAAAACCACTCTTCCGAACATTAATAGATTGTCCTAAAGATTCTTCATACCTCACCAAAAGTTTCTTTATACCCATAAAAAAACTACTTGTTATCCTTTCTAAAAGTAACATATAGTCAATGTAAAAAAGATGTGAAATGGTAAAACTACCTCCACCCACATGGTAAGGAGTAATAGCTTCATCCCTCACTCTCTCCTCAATATTTTTTTATCATAATTTGTTGACCTAGAATGAAAAGCAATAAAGATAGATGGTCCCTTTGACTAAGTCCTTGAGGAGATTGGAAAAACCCAAAGTTGCTCCTAATTTATGACATAGTACTATATATTACTTATGCATAAGTACACAAGATCAACTAGCAATTATTGAAGGCTAATTTTTGTGTAGCCCTTAATAGAAATTACCATTCAATCCTATCATTAACCTTTTGATATATCAAACTTAAAAATCAGATTACCACCCTATACCTTTCGTTTAGCTTAGTAACCATCTTTTGGGCAATGATTATATTCTTGATGTGTTAGTATAGGTGCCCAAGATCCAACCTAGTTTGGATGGTTTGACTTATTATAATATTGCATTTTCTATTTTGTTAATAAAAAATTCTTTCTATATTAATAAAAAAGTCTTTCTATTAATTCTTGTTGTTTATATTTTGATAAAATTAGATAAAAGTCCATATGATACACATTGCGTAATAATTGGTTAAAAGATATGAGACAAACATTAACAAACTTTAATGACATCATTAAATGTCTTAAGTTATAGCATTGTCAAGAATGAAGATTGACTATGTACGATAAGACTTATGAGTGCTATGCTTATGCTATAAGATAGTAGTAAGAGATCTCACACTTATTGGCATGGTGATGCCAAAGCTATCATTGAGGTGATTTATGTTAAAAAAATATATCACTCGGACTTGACTCATTATGAGAACTCATTTGGTTTAATCTATCATAATCTCATATGAGATGGGTATAGCTGGTTCTTTAACTTGAAGTCATCATGGTTATCTTATTAGAGGATTTATGTACTTTGACACTTATTTTGATGGGCTCGGTCAAGAGCTACACATGAATGATTCGTTGGGTGCACTAGGATTCTAATGGAGATAAGTGGATAACTAAGATGAGTTACACATGTCATTCCTTATAAGCTAAAGGAGTTATCGCATTGTGCTTCGATAAATATATGTTCAAGGAATCGGTGGCTACGGTAAAAGTACACTAGGAGAGGATAGCTGGTTTACTTTAAAGCTAAGACATTTGAGAATTGAAGAAAACTTATGTGATCATAATCAATTAGCCTATAAATGATGTTCGAGATCACACTATGATAAATTGATAGGAGGACTGAATATATGGTAACCATGCTCGAGAAAGGTAATCACGGATTAATTAATCCTCCTAGAGAGGTGGGTAATCATTATGTCTTACTAGAGACCAATCTTGTTTCATGCATCAAGAGATAAAAGAAGTATTTTTATTCTTGATACATTGTCAACATATTTAGGAGCTTATTAAGTCACACACATAAGTTTAAGCATTAACATAATAAAAGAGAAGTAAAGATTTTGGAAAAGGTTTCATTTTTGAAAGTTTCCTACTTTGGAAAAGGTTTTCGAAAATGGAAAGTTCTTGTTTTGGAAAAACGTTTCCTAAAATAGAAAGTTTCCTATTTTAGAAATTAGTTTCCTAATTTTGAAGCAAGTTACCTAAAAAGAAAATTAGTTTTCTAATTTAGAGTTAAGGGTAATTTAGAAAATTTCTTCCAAAAGTGGGCTTCCTAAAAATATCTAACTCAATTTATTTAGTTAGTCCAAATTAATTAGTAATTAATTGGTCAAAAGAGTTTGGGTTAATATGTTTAATTTAAAAGTCTATAAGGTATTTTGATGAGAGGATAAATTTAATCCCTATTAGATAAGGCTTTAGGTTTAGAAAGATAAAAAAGGCCCACCCACATTACAACTCATTATCCTAGTAGGACAAACATACCGCCCCCTACATAAATAAAAGGGAGGTAGGAAAGAGGGGAAGATTACTACAGTAATACACAACAATAAAAAAGAGAAAAAAGGAGAGTAAATGTTTCTCTCCTAAAAGCCGAGTTGTGGTATCCCTCTTTAAAAAGCCTAAGTTTTCAAAAAAAAAACCCCGATTTGAATTTTAAAAGAAAAGTTAACCATATAGAAGGATTAGAGCTAGCACTTTATGATTTTTGTCACTTACTTTGTGGGCATATAAGCTATGTGGATTATCGATAAAAGGGTGGACACTTAGACTCGCTCCATTTTTACAAAGGCTAAATCTTTGCTGCAAGAGGTAATCCCGTACTCACACTTTTAATTCATGTATGTTGACTGTTGACACTAGCACGCACAACTACCAAGCCAAGCCGGATATGTGCTGGTTGCACGACAAGCTAAGCATGACCAAGTTAGTTGCACGCTAGGCTTGCAATAGGTTAGATGTGCCTCATGCACGCTAAGCCTTTTGGCGAGGTCGATCACACTCATAGAAAAACAATTTGACAAAACCAAGAGACACGAATTTAGTTATTTCAACCTAAAATATTAAAGTAAAATGGAAAAATAGAAAATTTTAATTGTGTATTTTAGTCTAAAATTTTTAAGGAAAGTTGTATCTATTAGTTATTTAATAGGTTTCCACAATATAAATCATACCTAATAACATCATAGGAAGGACACGAGTACCTTATGTCGTACATTCACCATAAGGCATGGTGTTAATATCCTCGAGCTACTTTAGGTCTTAGGTCAAAAGTGTTACAATTTTCATATAAAAAAGAGAGAAATTAAAAAATTAAAAAAAAAATTGGAATATTGTATAGTTTATCTTTTTCATGATATTTAGGCTTTTTTTATATAAATTTTTAGGATTTTAATTTCTTAAAATTATTCCCATATTTTTAGTTAAAAAAAAAAGAAAAAAAAAACCTTTTTCCCATATTTTTGTAGAGACAAAATTATTCCCATATTTTATGGAAGGATTGGAGTTTGGGTCCATGGTTATAGTGGTCAATGCCTCATGTAGAGATAAGATATGGTACTAACTCTAATCTTGAAACCATGAGGTATGCATCTTGTAATGAGTACTATGATAAATATGATGCTGGAACTTATAAAAAGTGTTACGAAGAAGTAAGCACGACCGGAGAAGAGCATGAAAGAGAGATCGAACATTTTGAAGCTAAAATTACCCTTTTGCATTTTTGGTCTCCTTTTAATCACCACATCATTGATTGCTTATTTCCTAGCCCTTGCTTCATCGATATCTTTTGGTTGCTTCCTCCGATGATGGCTCTATAGAGACTAGCCCATCCGTATTTGTTCCTACTCATAAGGATATTTTGATGACCATTCCTTATGTTAGTGTAGGTGTTCAACATCCAATCATCTTTGGATTGGTTTGAGCTATTGTAACATTACATTATTTATTTTATTAATAATAACAAAAATCTTTCTATTAATTCGTATTGTTTATATTTATTTATTAAATAGAATTATATAGAAGTTCATATGATATGCATTTGTATTGATGATTGATCGAAAGATGTGAGAAAAACATTAATGCACTTAAATGATATCATTAAATATCCCAAGTTATAAAATTTTCAAGAATGGAAATTAACTATATGTGGTTGAACTTATGAGTGTTTTGCTCATGTTATATGATAACGATAGGAGATCTCGGACTTATTGGCATGGTGATCTCAAAGTAAGCACTTAAGTGATTTATGTTAGAGAACATATCACTAGACTTGACTCGTCATGAGAACCCATTTGGATTATTCTATCGGACTCTCATATGAGATGGGTACAACTGGTCCTTTGACTTGAAGTCATCACGGTTATCCGATTAGAGGATTTACATACTTTGACACTCATTTTAATGGACCTAGTAAAGGGTTACATGTGGGCGATTCGTTAGGTACACTAGGAGTCTAATGAAGGTAGGTGGATAACTAAGATAGGAGATGTTATTACTTATATCCTAAAGGAGTTATCACATTACGCTTTGATGAATGTGTACTTAAAAAATTTATAATCACAATAAGAGTACACCAATATAGTATTATTGGTTTATCGTAAGAGCTAAAACATTTGAAAAATCGTAGAAAACTTGACTAATAACCAAGTTTGAGATCACACTATGATAAATTGACATGAAATCGAAATTGTATGTAACCATGCTCATGAAAGGTAATTATAAATTAATTAATCCTCTAAGAGACTGAGATAGTCATGATGTCTTACTAAAGGCCAATCTTTGTTTATGTATCAAGAGATAAAAGAGATGTCTTTCACTATAGATACATTGTCAACATATCTAGGAGGATATTGAGTCAAATGTATAAGTTTAAGCATTCACATAATAAAAAAGAAGCAATTATTTTGGAAAAAGTTTCCAATTTAAAATTTTCCTATTTTAGAAGAGGTTTTTGAAAATGAAAAGTTTCCTAAAATAAAAGTTTCTAAAATGGAAAGTTTCTTATTTTAGAAATCAGTTTCCTAATTTGAAAGTGAGTTCCAAATTTGAAAGTAAGTTACCTAGAAACAAAATTAGTTTCTTAATTTAGGCTTAAGAGTAATTTGGGAAATTGCTTCCTAATATGGGCTTTCTAAAAATATCTAACCTAATTTATTTGGATAGTCCAAATTAATTAGTAATTAATTGGACCAAAATAGTTTGGGCCAATAGGTTTAATTTAAAAGCTTGAAAGATATTTTGATTAGATGATAAATATAAGCCTTATTGGATAAGGATGAATGTTTAAAAGGATAAGAGTAAAAAACCAACATGCATAATGACTCCTAATCCTTGGAGAATTAGGAAGCAATAACCAAAAGTCCTTGAGGGACTCATTGCCAACACTTCCTCCTCCTTAGGGGAGGTGCGACAAACGAGTAAAATAGAATACGGTAGAAAGAAAATTAAGAAGAACAATAGTTTTCTCCCTTACTCGCACATGCCTCTCTCCATCTCTCTCTTATGGTCATTGTAAAATATCCCTTAATATATTTCTGAAGTGAAAACACAAAATAAGTAAAAAAAAGATAAAGTTAGCATTCTATCAATTTTGAGTGCTTATTGTGTTCATGCTTGGACTATGTGAATTTTGATAGAGGTCCGACACTTAGATGACTCTTTTTCTATAAGGGTTAGATTCTATACTATAAGAGGTAATCCTTTATTTATGTTTTGATTTATGTATGTACGATTAGTTGATTCAACGATCGATCTTAGGAGCTTTAGATGGAAATTTTTTTTATTTTATTCCACACTTTCACGGAATGCATGATCCTTCAATTAATATCAAAGCCTTAATTGAATCTTTAATTTTATGCTTTATTAATTGTGATTAATCATATGAATTAGTAATTTTAGGCATTTTATATATGCTTTAAGATTGAAATTTGGGCTTAAAAGAGTAGGGGTGTGTGGGGTCAATGCTCGGACGTTAGCACTTACATGCAAGAGCAAAGGAGTCGGCCGATTCCATATTAAGTGTGCGATAGCCCGGACATGCCTACCATATGCCAAGCTTCTTAGTAGGCCGGTCACTCGTTGGGCGCATGATAAGCCCGACCTTCTAGCTAGCAATTGTGCACGACGAGCTAGTCATGCATTAAATGCACAACGAGCTAGGCCTCTTGGCCGGAAGTTATATGCTAGGTGCACAAAATGCCAAACCCCAAGCAACGAGTATCAAGCATACATACGCTAGGCAACGAGCTAAGTGTATGTGAGCACCAAGCGATAGGCCGGGCATGTATGAGTATGCCAAGCCTAAGAACAACACGATTCGAGGCACAAGCAAGCATGCCGGGCCACTAGTTTGGGCATGTAGGCCGATGGGCCTCAAGACCCAAAAGCCCATTAGCTCGAGGCCCCAAAAGTCAAAAACTTAAAATTTAGAAAAATTTTGATAATTTTATAAAATGGAAAAAAACATATATTTGTAATTATGATTTAAATGAAATGTGTTTCATGAGCATGCCATGTATCAATGTGATTGAAGCATGGTGAATGGTATGGATGAGTCAACCTAGTTTATACGAATGAATGTTTATAATTTTTTGGATAAATAAGGCATGTGTATCCTACCTTCTTTATCATTCTATTGTATTTCTCCTCTCATCTTACTCCTCTCATATGTAACTCAATGTTTCTTTTTCAAACAATGTTAAAGTAGAAGATACGAATTAGAATAGATGCAAGGAGAAGAAACTAAGAAGTGAAGATAATCCTAAAGAATTTATAATAATTTTTCACCTAGGAATTTGACCCACTAGTCTCTTGTGGCTTGAGGGGGCTAGTATTAGAGATCAATTACAATTCATTGGTCTTTGAGTCATGGATGAGATGTATGCTTTTAATTTTATGATCTTTAGTATACATGATAGAATAAATGTGATTGATTACTAGTATGCATGCTAGGATAAGACTCGTCATATTAAATCCTTTAAATTAAATATCAAGTTGAATGCCTTCTAACATTATAAGGAGGGAACTCTTTTGATTATTGTTGGCTTGTTAAGATAACTCAAGGTCACTTCTTCCTAGAGAGAAATAATCATGGGCCATGCGATGTCCTCAAATGCTTGGGTCCAACTTAAAATGAGTTGTTAGGTTTGTTGAGATAGGTCAAGGTCCAATAAACTTATAGAAAAAGATTAGTATTCACATAAGATATGATATGATTAAGAGTTGTCATGCCAATAAGATTAAAAATTGCATTGGATGTAATTGGTAAAGAGTTACCTACCTAATCCTTCATATATGAATTGTTGAGATAACTTAAGGTTAATACGAAGTTAAAGGATGGGATCCTAACCCATTAAGGAAAATGAATCAAAAACATTTCTCGAGTTCTATATTGAAGGTTATAGAACTTGAAGAAAATAGTGAAAGCAAACATAAATTATACTTCTTTAATTTATAGTTTGTTTTATTTTGTACAAATTAATTTACCAAACAGTATGCTTTTCTATCCTATCAAGATTGTTGCATAGTATGATCTGGCAATATATCGATCATTAATGGGAGTAATGACTTAAGTGGAATAAACTTCCTTGACTGAAAATGAATAAGAGAAACTTCCTCCAACATGGAAAAATGCTCTATGAGATAAACAATAAGAGTACCATAAAAGGGAGCAAATGAAGAGTTCTAATAGCACCTTAACTATTTATGTTATTGAAGTAAACTTTTCTACTTCTAGTCCCATATCATGGGTATTTGATATTGAATGTAGAGCACACATTTGCATGAATTTGAAAGGACTAAAAGAAGTAAGAAAAATGGCTCCAAGTGAGGTTGACCTAAATGTAAGTAATGTTACTATGGTTATACCATAGCGATAGACACCTATAAGTTAGCACTTACCATCTAAACTTGTGCTTACACTCAAAAACTATTATTATATTTTTAGTATAACTAGGAATATCATTTTTATTTCTTGTTTCGACTAAGATGGCTTTTCATTTTTATTTAAGAAAAAAGGTTATTCCTTTTGTAAAGATAATGTTCTATGTAGAAATGCTTATATGAATAACGGTTTATATGCTTTAAATATAGATACACTCGTATATAATATAAATGCAAAAAGACTCAAAACAAATGATCTAAATAAAACTTATATGTGGCATTGTCGACTTGGCCATACAAACGAGAATCGCATATCCAAACTATATAAAAATGGATATCTAGAATAATTTGATTATGAATCTTATGATGTCTATAATCTTGTCTACTAGGCAAAATGACAAAGTCCCTTTTTAGTGGAAAGGGTGCAAGGGCTACCGATTTGTTAAGCCTCCTACATTATGATGTATGTGGGCCCTACCCACCCAAGCAAAAAAAGGATATGATTATTTCATAACCTTTATTGATGATAGATTGTATTTTGGTTATATGTATTTAATGACACATAAATCTAAAATGTTTGAAAAATTCAAAGAATTTAAGTTTGAAGTCGAGAAAAACAAACAAAAGTATTACGGTAGTTCGATCAAATTGAGGTGAAGAATACTTAAGCACTCGAATTTTCGGATCATTTAAAGGAGCATGGGATTCTCTCATAATTAACTCCACCTAAAACACCATAAATGAATGGTGTGTCTAAAAAGAGGAATATGCATTGTTAGACATGGTCTTGTCCATGATGAGTCAAACTCGATTTTCCCATTTCATTTTAGGGATATATACATTTATTTTGAACGGGGTTCCAAAAAAGTCTATTGATCGGACTCTATATGAGATATGAAAAGAAAAGAAAGCAAATTTATCTTTTCTTAAGATTTAGGGTTGTGAAGCATATATCAAACGTTTAAACGGAGACAAGCTAGAGCCAAAATCAATAAAATGTAAATTT